GTCTCTTAATCCACGTGGCGTACCTGTGGGCAGACTGGCCCTTAGCAGCTGAAGCCTTGTTCCATTTCCTATTCTGAATATAGTATATCAGGCAATAGGAAAGACCTGTTGGCCAATGTACATTACTCAGGCCACAGCCACATGCTCACTTAGGTTACTAGGCTAGTTTTTCGTTTTAACACTGATTTCTTGTATTTTTTTCTTGCCCTCTCCCGTTCCCCACAAACGCGTAAACTTGTACCAGCGTGTATCTTGCAATCCTCTGCATGCTTGCATACAACACATTCTCATGCACGTCCACCTCTGACATGTGCACGCATGTAGCCTGTGCACATGAGAGCCCACACGTGTGTCCCTATGTTATGAAAACCCACAGACATGCAAGTAGGTACAAGCATGTGAACGTCACTCTGAGATGGGAAAATGCAAAAAACATCTTTTTGTTTTTTCTCTTGACAGAAATTGCTCCTATCGAGCTTAGAGTTGGTCACATTTTAATCAACAGGAAATGTTTCTAGGAGATAATAACGATGTTCAGGACACATTGCTTGGCAAAATTCTTGGAAGAATCCACATAGAAAGCTCTTCACGGTCCCAGGCCTAATCCTGCAAGCAGTCATACATGTGAGTAATTGAACACACGTGGCAAGTCCCACCAACTTACTTGGGACCACTGTTCTCTCTAATTTTTCCTGTTCATATGCAGAATAAATTTTGTTACATGCACCAAGGCATGTGTGGACGTGCACCACCAACAGAAACACATGCTGCCAACTGTGGGCTCTCTGCTAATCAGCTGGATGGCACCTGAATCTCCCCTGGGTGACCATCCAAGCACTTAGCTTACAGGGAACACTTCCGGGGACTATCTGCAGGATGGAAAGCTGACAGGTGCATGAAAGTTTGCAGGCGTGGGTCATCGGTGAGCTACATGAGACACCGTGATATTCAGTTCCAAACAAGTGTTTGCAAAAAAGCAATGTGTGCGGTTAGTTCAAGTCGTGCTCAGCGGCACCGTCAGATAAAAAGAAGGAGGAATCTAGCAGCAGACGGAAAGTGAGTGATGATAGCTCCTTTCAGTGCTGCTCTGGGAGCAAGACAGCAGCACGGGATCCAGATGGGATCAACTTGGGATCTCTTTCAGGGAGTGAAATGTGGGCTGCTTATATTTCACAGACCTTCATAGCCCAAAAAGATCCAGATGGGATCAACTTGGGATCTATTTCAGGGAGTGAAATGTGGGCTTCAACTACCCCAGACTAACACGGCTACATTTCTATCACTATATTTCACAGACCTTCATAGCCCAAATCACCCATTGTAGTCAATGAGCCGCCTCCCTCTTTCTTCGCTTTTCGGACTGTCCAGCTGACTTTCAGGATGTGTGAGAGGGGCTTTATTTGAGTTAAGGATGACTAAGCCTAAGGACTTTGGGACTCAGATCTTGAAGTCTTTACACAGGGGCTCCATGGCGATTTTACCTGATGATCCTTGTTTAGTCTCTCGGGGACCATGTGAGGAGAACTTGTGCCAAACGCTGCATGTTTTGTTGGGGTGGGTTTTCTACATCTCACGTGTAAACTCGCCTGTATCCCACCTCTGAGGTCAATGGAGAACTGGCCAACACCTGCATTCCAAACTCAGCACTAGGCTTCGTGCTGTGTCACTAATTGCAAAGTTTGGGCTTGATTGTTAGAGGCCGTACTTTTAAGAGGGCGCTCACAGTGGAGATTTCATACAGTAAACAGAAAATCTCCGCTATTAAGTTGTTTATCTGGCTCTGTTTTCCACTGTGTGGAATATTAACAACTTACTTTGCATTGCCTCCCAAGGCTGCTTCTAGGTTCAAAGGTTGCCACCGATCGCACATTGGGCTGAGCTAAATACTGGCAGGAAAACACATTTGGTGTTTTAATTGGAAAAACACACTCCTTGTTTTATCACCCTGGGGCCTGGACTCCCCAGAGCAACAATGCAGTGCATTCTGCGAGGGCAAGTGAAAATGTACAGGAAGCACTTGATGATATGGTTGTAAGACCATTAAGGGTTTGATGTATACACACAAGTAAGCAGGTTCCCCGTTCAGGGTAGAAACCGTGCCCTCTGTGAGCATTTTCTGTGCTTTACCCATTGGAGTTGGGGCTGGGGGCTCCATCCAGTTATGTTCCACAGGGCCACTTGATTCCCGGTTAATATCTGAGCCTGGGAACATGGCAGCAACCCTTTGTCCAGGGCCAGCTTTAGGAAGTGCAGGGGGGGGGGGCCGTGCATGCGCTGCGTGCCCAGGAACAGGGCTCTCTTATGCACGGGGCCCCCCTCTTAGGCGTGGGGCCTGATTCGGGGGAATCGGCCTAAAGCTGGCCCTGACTTTGTTTTCAAGTCCTCCCTCCCTCCCCAAACAGAGGTGTAACCACGTGGGGAAGGCTGATGGGGCCTAGACTAACAAGGCCTGGCTCTCCTGCCATTTTCTTGTGAGGAACGTCGTCAATACAGCGAAAGGCTGGGGACGAGGGAGTACGTCTCACTCTTTGGATCCCTTGTCTGTTCGGTCCCACAGCCCTTTGCCCTTCATGTCTGGATCCAAGAGGGAGCCAACGAGCCTGGTGCTCTGCTTAGAAAGCTGGAGGATGGTCCAGGAGTCTGACAGGAAATGTGCAGCTGGAGAGGCCAAGGGTGGCGAGTGGGCCTCGAACAGCAGGGCCCTCGGCATCTAAACAGCTTACGCCAGCCCTAGGAGTTCTCTGCTGCTTGTGGCTTTGTCAGGCTCATGGCAGCTGATGTGACCCGGTCTTGAGGGTGAACTTCCTGACTGTCGCGGAGGTTGCACGTCCACAGACACAATATGAGAGAAGGAAAAGAACTGGCTGCTTCTTGCTCTAAATCCCAAGGTGAACTGAAGGAGAATCCCTTTTAGCAAGTAAGAGTATAGGTCCTATGACACACAGCTGAGCAGCTCTGTTCCATGCAGTAGAGGCTAGCGCACGTGTCTACGTACAGGAGTGTGTGCGTATGTTGCATTAGCTGAATAATGGATGTCTAATTTTTGTATACATATAAATTCAGCTAAATAGAGTAAAAAATTACTAACACCACCATCTAAAATGTGCCTTTCTTGCTCTTGACATCTTTCAGGTGTTTTAAAGGGGGAACTCCTGAGTCCATACATCCTCTCTGTTGGGAGGAAGAGGAGATGAGAAGTAGTAATTCTCTTTTGCAGATGGAGAAATTGAGACTCGTAGGTCAAATGACTTTGCCCAGCCCACAGAGGGGAATCGGTGTCACTCCAGTGGTCAGACCCTAGACTAGACCATAGGCTGCTCTCAGGCCAGCTGAATAATGCACATGGCTGGAACTGAGGTCGGAAGCCGCCCCGAGAAGGCACCTGCGGGTTAGAAATCATGATGTGTGAAATGAAATGGGAAGCCCCGGATCTAAAGAACCACCACAACTGCTACAAGGTGTTCCTGAAGCTGTCAGCAAGCCATCTGCCTGCTCGCCGCAGGTAAATCGACATGCAGCGGAATGCCATGGCCGACCTCTCGTTGGAAATACAGAAAGGGGCTGGGGCGGAGACCAGAGAAGCCCACGCGAGCAAATGGCCCTCCAGCTATGCTTGTCAAGGTGAGTTCTGCGGTACACGCCACAATGATAAACAGAGCAAGCCCCGTAACAACTGCAGACAAGGCTACTGAGACGAGGCAATCAGGAGTGGACAAAAAAGAGGAGAGAAAAGCACCTGGGTGGTGAAAGCTTTCTGCAGCATTTGCAGAGGGCGGAGGGGGAGAGAACAGCCTTTCTTCATGTAGTTGCAACTGAGTAAACCTCTCTGTTCCAGTGCCTAACTCTCATAACTCATCTGCGGGCCACTCGAGCTAACGGGAAATGTGCAGTTAGCCGAGGGAGAGGCGTGCCTGGCTCTAGCACACAATTTATGGCTCTTGGTTTCAAAAAAAGAGCGTTTACCGAGCGGGGCCGAGCGCGGCCGCTCAGGGTAGGCCTGTTTCCCATTTTATCTCTCCATAAGCTCATTACCCAAGCGTTCGCTTTGCTAGGCCTCCACGCTGGGCACCATAGCAACCCCATCAACAAGCAAGACACATTCGCCCCTGCCTCCGAGGAGCAGGGCAGGCGGCTTCCCTCTCTTTCGTGGCGCTGTTTTTGTGAGAGGGCTTACCCCTTCGCTCCCCCACTTCCCTGGGCCTTCTCGGGAAAGCAGAGAACAGCAAGACTCGAAGTCTGGAGATGCAAATAAAGTGATGCGTATTGGGGGTCGCTTCCAGCAAACAGGAATCCAATTCTCTTTCCTTTCTTCCTCCCTGTTCCCTTGTTTTTATTCTTGTTTTTTCCTCACTCACTTCCTGTTTGTCCTTAATATATATAGTAATATTTTTAGGTATCTGTTAATCAATCATTCTACTGAAATTAAACCAACCGATCCTAACATGATTATCTCACCAATTATATCCCACCACCTTCGTTGGCTTACACCCAGCAAAATGAATTATACAGGAGACAGAAACAATCAAAGAACCAGGCAGAACCAGACAGATAAACGAGAGAAGTTGGGGAGTGGAGCCACGCCAGACAGAAAGCTCTCAGCCTAACGACTCGTTTGGAATGGACCTTCCTTACTGGTTTGGAATGGTTGGGATTTACTTTCCTTACGGGTTTGGCTTTGCTCTTACAAAGACCTTTACTGGCAGGCCGGAAGATCTGTGTCCTAGCAGTTTCCTGTGAGGAACGTGCAGGGTTTACACCGTATGCAAGGTTTTGAGGTGCGGGGGAGGGGACAACGTCTTGGGTACTGACCGTGACCCTTTGATTCATGAAAGATCCCCTGGTGTTCCGTCGCCGCGCCGGGGAGAGAACGCCGCCGCCCCAGGCATGCGGGGGTGGGACCTGCTTTCTGCCGGCCTGCGGTTGGCTCGCGCTCCCAGCCAATCCACGTGTGTCGCCATGCAGTGTTAAAGACGGGCCGCATTCCGGCCCAGAGGGGGGCTGCTCAGCTGTGGTGGAGGAAGCCAGACCAGGGTATGTAGCTTGTACTGTGATTTGGGCTTTATGTGACTGTAAGAGAGCAGGGGGCCAGATCTTGCTCCCCCTTTCCCCCGCCCCCTGCCCCTTGCATTGTGCCAATTGCTTTGCGTCACTCCTGGAAGCAAGCAAAGTACGTCTGGTCTCTCTTATGCAAAGGGTGCGGCGTCGTAGTAAGGGATCTGTGTCACTCCTCTTCATGGTCCCCACTATTGAGGGTGCGACCAAGGGACGTGTGGCCCCTACTGACCTTTGCTTGCTGCTGGCTTGTCGGTCACAGCAGCCTTGGGGGCCAGGCCAGTCCCTGGCTAGCCCCCAAATCAGAGTAGATCGGTAACGTTGCCACTGCATGTGACTGCCCCAGGCTGCGTTTGAAAATCAGGCCAGTCCAAGAACACGCAGCTCTTGTTCTGCACCAGACCGCCCTCCCTTTTTCAGCCCCGTACCAAGTGGCCTAGCCTCAGGATGGCTCGGGGTCTGTGACTGGGGGGGACCCGTGTTTCTGAGACACAGAATTCTCCCTGCAGAACGTATTTCTCCAAATGTTCTCTATGGCATTCGGTTAAAGGCCAAACATATCTCTGGTCTGACTTGCTTAGCTTCATTGTTTGGATGGTCATGGAGGTTAGGTCCATCAACACTTATTAGCCAGGATGGGTAGGGTAGGGATGGTGTTTGTCAGAGGCTGGGAATGGGTGACAGGAAAGGGATCACGTGATGATTTTCTGTTCTGTTCACTCCCTCTGGGGCATCTGGTGTTGGCCACTGTTAGCAGAGAGGACACTGGGCTAGATGGACCTTTGGTCTGACCCAAGATGGCCGTTCGTATGTTCCTATGGTTCCCATAACACCAATCTGCTCTCATGCTCGCAAGGTTGATGGCGGTTGAAAAAGGCTTGTCCCCACAGAGGACCAGAATCTTTCTTTCTGCAGCCTCCACAGAGAAAGGTGATCAGACGTTTCCCGAACTAGTGGCCCAAGGTGGGGGTTGGGAACCCAAGGATTCCTCACAAACACTTGTTCTCACTTTCTGGAGCTGGCTGGGAGCAGAGGCACCTCTGTGCGGTTGCCTTTTGCCAACTGTGGTGAGCACAAGACAGTGTAATCGAGTAAACACATTTATTTGTTTGAGCTTTGGGCACCGTGAGCCTACACCTGGGCTCAATAAAAGGAAACACAGTCCCTTAATAGGGACTTGGAGTGTCATCGTTTTGATTCCTGCTCTGTGATGGCTTTCCCGCATGACCTTGGGGAAGGCACTGAGTCCCCTGTCTGTAAAATGGGCTTGAGGCTGTGTGCTCCCTCATAGGAGAGTGTTGTGAGGATAAGTGCAGTGAGGCCTCTGAGGGGCTGAGCTACCCTGACGATAAATTTGGGGGGAAGGGACAAAGATTTCTGTTCTGTCACAAAATTCTCACAATATGGGTGCAGGCTGGAGACTTTCCTGGGAGTGGAAAAGGAGGGCAGGGTATCAAAGCGGGACTGGGATGTACCAGCAAAACTGTCAATGAAAATTACAGTGTTAGCCCCAAACTCTGCCTGGTGCCAGACCCTCCCATTAAGCCCTTGCCTTCCGTGCGCACTGAAATTCTCCTGCAATTAAAAGAACGTCTGAGAAACGAGCAGGCCCCTGAGCGTGTAACCTAAAGCAGTTTAAAGCTCGGATTCTTTCAACTTCCCACAAGTCTCTCCTCTGCTCCAGCCACCTCGTTTCTCTCTCGACCCTGTAAACGCAGACCCTTTTGAAAATGCCCAAGGAAGGCTCCGTAGACACAATATTTCTTTAATTTAATTTCCTATTCCTAATGTGCCCTAATTAATGTCATTTTGTTTGATTTGCTGCCAACATGCCAACGCAGCACTTACTTAGTTTCCCAGGCTTGATGATAGCCCTGCAGTAATACGTATCAAGTGAACACACCATAGTTAGTCAGATCTGAGCCCACTGCAGCAAAAGCTTTGGCGTTTCTCCCATGGAAGGGCCTAAAGCTGCAGTATCCCATAGATTTCACCTGGAGTTTGTGGAGGCGGGGATAGAAAAATCAGGACCTTTGTTCCCAGGAAGAAAGTGTCAACAATTTGCACAGTGCTAAATAGAGGGATGGTGATAACCATGTGTGAAAGATACTGGATCAGTGAACTTTAGTTCCATTTCACAGAGGGGAAACCAAAGCTCTGAGTGGTGAACTGACTTGCCCATGGGTACCCCATGCACCAGGGGCTGAGTCACTTTTGCTCATCCCCAAACATCCCCCTGTTGGTTGGCACCCGGAGAAGTGTCATTGGTTGCACAGAACAGCTAGCAAGGCGCTCTCATCGCCATCCTTCTACTTCCTCATTGTGGAGTTGGTTGGGTGTGTAAGGGTTAAATAAGGGCTCTGGGTAGCTGCAACCATGGTGATGGAGGTACAGCATAGAATCATAGACTACTAGGACTGGAAGAGACCTCAAGAGGTCATTGAGTCCAGTCCCCTGCCCTCATGGCAGGACCAAGTACTGTCTAGACCATCCCTGATAGACATTTATCTCACCTACTTTTAAATATCTCCAGAGATGGGGATTCCACAACCTCCCTGGGCAATTTATTCCAATGTTTAACCACCCTGACAGTTAGGAACTTTTTCCTAATGTCCAACCTAAACCTCCCTTGCTGCAGTTTAAGCCCATTGCTTCTTCATCTATCCTCAGAGGCCAAAATAAACAAGTTTTCTCCCTCCTCCTTATGACACCCTTTTAGATACCTGAAAACCGCTATCATGTCCCCCCTCAATCTTCTCTTTTCTAAACTAAACAAACCCAGTTCTTTCAGCCTTCCTTCATAGCTCCTGTTCTCTAGACCTTTAATCATTCTGGCTCTTCTCTGCACCCTCTCCAATTTATCCACTTCTTTCTTGAAATGCGATGCCCAGAACTGGACACAATACTCCAAATGAGGCCTAACCAACACAGAGTAGAGCGGAAGATTGACTTTGCGTGTCTTGCTCACAACACACCTGTTAATGCATCCCAGAATCATGTTTGCTTTTTTTTGCAACAGCATCGCACTGTTGACTCATATTTAGCATGGGCAGGTGCTGTTCCTATTGATTTATAGACATGCTTTCCTCCTTTCATGCTTCATTGGGATAGATACACACGTAACTAATCACAGATGTAACTTTTAAAGAATGCTCTGTGTTAACAATGCAATCTTCCTCCCCGCTTACCCATTCCCATTCACTATGAAATAGACATTTAAGCTACTTCAAGACAGCGGCTCTATTTCGGGATACCAGAAATATCCCGAAATAGCTATTCTGCACCTTTAAAAATAACGGGCATGCTATTCCGGTGCCCTTGTAACACTTGTTCCACAAGGGTTAAGGGACTTGTTGGAATACTTCTTTATTTCAAAATTTGGCCCTGCGTGGATAGCACCAAATTTTGAAACAAGCTATTTTGAAATTAGATCAAAATTTGATCCGCAATTTGCGTAGCTGAAATTGTGTATCTTAGTTCGACCTATGGGTGCAGTGTAGATGCACCTTCAGTGTCACCCCTCTTTTCCCCCTTGTAAGTGGCTTATTTAAGCAAGTTTGTGATGTGAGACCTGCTTACATCAACTAAAAAGCTGTAAGCAGGGGTGAGTGTAACTATATGCATCGCATGGCTATGACTATGCATTAGCTGGGTATTCGCATTACTAAATTAAGGCTCAAAGAGTGCTGCAATCGATAAGTGTATTTACGTACTAACTGAGATAAAAAGGTGAACTTGGGATTCATTTGTTGCTTGCTTGATTCCCAAAGCTGAGGGGTCCGAGACGGAACGAGTATCGGCAATAAAGGTGCCCTTGTACTCCATTGGCCTCTGGGTAACCTGTTCTCTTCTAAAAGAGTTGGTTTGGTTTCCAGTCCCAGGCAGAAAAGACCCAGTGGTAGCTGATGGTTTATCGAAACAGCTGTGCGATAACCATTCCCTTCAGGGTGCAGTGAGCTTCTTTTTGCTTCTGAACTGGAATCTCTGGCTCTCTTTCCTCTTGCATTTATCTCCTCCACCTTTTCTCCCCTCATTAAAATGAAGTGCAGGTGTGAGAGAAGAACCCCCTGTTCCAGCACTTACCTCAGTCCCCCTCCTCTGCTTTTCCCATTCCTACCCCTCCTGATCCTTACAGGGAGTTTTGAATCCTGCCCTAAAACAGCTCTCTATGGCTAGAAGAAAATCCCCAACCTGTGGGTCTGATTCTACCCTTTGATAAGCACTGACGTAAAAGAAGAATTTGGAGGGGTAATGCCTGCATCTCACCTTTCCTAAAAGAGACGATCCATCATACACTGGGTCCCTGAAATTAACAATCACTCTCTCATTTCTGCTCTGCAACAGCTCTGAGTGGGGAGGAACACATTCAGGATAGCAAATAGCTCTTCTTTCCAGACATGGCCCTGCACCACTGAAATCAATAGGAATTTTAATTACCGTTGATTTCACTGGTACAGGACAGGAAGCGGTGGGCGTTAATAAGGCGAAAGAGCTGGAACCTTTCTACTCTATGCTGGTTAGGCTTCAGTTGGAGTATTGTGCCCAGTTCTGGGCACCACATTTCAAGAAAGATGTGGAGAAATAAAAGAAGGTCCAGAGAAGAGCAACAAAATTGATTAAAAGTCTAGAGAACATGAGCTATGAGGGAAGACTGAAAGAATTGGACTTGTTTAGTTTTAGAAAAGAGAAGACTAGGAGGGGACATGATGGTGGTTTTCGGCATCCAAAAGGTGTTTTTGGTTCTCCTTGACCTCCAAGGATAGGACAAGAAGCAATGGGCTTAAATTACAGCAAGGGAGGTTTAAGTTGGACCTTAGGAAAAACTTCAGGGTGGTTAAACACTGGAATAAGTTGTCTAGGGAGGTTGTAGACTCTCCATCTCTGGAGATATTTAAGAGCAGGTTAGATAGACATCTATCGGGGATGGTCTAGATGGTGCTAGATGGTGCCGTGAGGGCTGGGGCCTGGATTCGATGACCTCTTGATGTCCCTTCCAGTTCTAGAAAAATAAATAAATAAATACAAGTCCAACACTGCAATGGAGTCAGTCTTCGTTCAGCTCTGATAAGGCTCGAGAACCAGGTTGGATTCCTTTTGGACTCACATTTCAGTGGTGCTGCCGGTGAAAACTGCTTGCATTGGGACGGAGTTGCACCTCGTCTGATTTGTACTTGGCTTTTGTTTTTTTGTTTTTTTGCTTTGTCCGGACACCCTGCAGAGGGAGAACCAGGAACAGCCTTGTTGTCACAGCGTGTGATACAACTGGGAGTGTCGACTCCTGCCTGTGAGTATCCACAGGGAGTCCTGGACCGAATGGGACTGGGACTCAAGGAGGTAGCAGATGGAAGAGAAGGAAGCTTGTCGTCATTGGGAAGCACATCCAAGAAATACAGTGGCACACACTTTCGTCCTGATGTGTGGAGTATCAACACCGTATCGACTGTGACGTGTGTCAATGGCTTGACCGAGCAGCCTGCAGGGAATTTTAGTTTGACCATCTTTAATTTCAGAAGACATTGCTGGTCGGGTGGTTTGGGTGAGGGCATTGTCCTCCAGGCCTTTATCTCTGCACATCTTATCGAGTGCCTCATCCATCTCTGTATCCCTTCCAATGGCCCCTGTGTGAGCCAAGACCGCCTTCCTGCTGTAGCAGAGGGGTAAAGAAACACAACGACATTATCACCCCATCTTCAACTGGCTCTTTTGGCTCTTGAGTCATTTCCAGGACCTCTCTAAAATTGCCCTTCTTGTTTTTAAGCCTCACTAGAGATTTCTGTTTCTCTGCCTGTTCTTCCCATTCATCAACCTCTGACCTTTTCTCTGTCCCACCCCCATAGCTGGCCGCTCGTGCTGTGAGGACCTACTCTGCTATAGCTCTTGGTGTCTGGAAGAGCCTTTGTACATCCCTCTCTATTCTCAAGACCAGGAAGACATGTCAGACATCAGCAACCTGATTGTGTAATGAAACATGAAGCGACACAGTTTTCATTACACAATTACACCTATTCCTCTCTCGTCCCACCTTCCTTTCAAAATCAAATTATTTTTAGATTTTCCTGGAGTCTGTAAGACCAGCACTATGGGCATGAGACAAGTCAATCTAAGCTATGCAATCTGAGTCATAATAGTAGCATAACTCAAGTCACCATAGCTTAATCTACTTACTTCAGGGTCCACACAGTGCAGAGTGGACAGAAGAAACCCCCCTGTTGACTCCCCTTATGCCTCTCGTCCTGGTGCAGTACTGGAGTGGACAGGACAGTGATTGGTGTGCGATTTAGTGAGTCTTCACTAGACCCACTAAATTGACCCCCTGGTGGATTGATCGCCACAGCATCAGTTCACTCCATAGTGGAGACATATGATATGAAAGTTCTCATGTCTTGTTGATATCAAGTGTGTATTTTGTGGCTGGAGATTTTGTGGGTGTTAGCTAGCGCTGGGACAGGGCTTTTCTCTTTATGATATTACATGTGCATTCTGGGCCTCATCTGTTTTAAATCCAGTGTTCCTGGATGATGCTTCCCAATTATTTATGGGCTCTCCTCCCTCCACTCTTATCTTACCCTCCCAGAAAATGAGGTGAAAAATCTATCCTAATGCTGGCAAACAGGGGACAGGAATACAGTAGGAAAAAGGACAATGTTGTTCTCTGCTTTTCCATGTGCTGCTGCTCACTAGGATGGAGTGAGCCCCTCCAATCTGTCTTTGGGAAGGTGGAACATGCAGACATCTCGGTCCTGGAGACACTGGACAAGGCTGGGAACCTTTAATGCTATGTTTTATTACCATAAAACTGAGACTGTAGAGCCAGCCTGGCTTTCGCCTTTGGTCAGAGCGTTACATTTAGGCTATTGGCTTGAAATTCAGGGCTGAATTCTGACCTGGATTACGCCCAGTGCGACTCCCCTTGGACTGGGCAGGTGTGACTGAGACAATCTAGTTCAATAAAATAAGACACAGGACTGGGACTCACTATGGGGCTGTTCTTCCCTCCGCCACTGATGTGCCGTGTGCCCTTGGACGAGTCACTTCACCAAACTGTGACTGTGTTTCCCTCTCCCAGCCTATAGCCTGCCCTTGTGTTCAAACAGGGTTAAAAAAACAACTAGATAAATTCATGGAGGTTAGGTCCACCAGTATGTATCAGCCAGGATGGGCAGGAGTGGGGTGACAGGAATGGGTGACAGGAGAGCCATGCCGTGATGATTCCCTGTTCTCTCCCTCTGGGGCCCGTGATGATTCCCTGTTCTTTCCCTCTGGGGCACCTGGCATTGGCCACTGTCAGAAGGCAGGATACTGGGCTAGATGGACCTTTGATCTGATCCAGGATGGTCAGATCATATGTTCTTCAGGGCAGGGACTGTATCTTACTCTGTGTATGTACAGTGCCTAGCACAACTGGGCCCAAGCCTCAGGTGCTACTATAACATAACTACTTCACTGAGGTTATAAACGGCTGCCCTCGTCCTTTTATCTTGCACCGTTTGCCCCTCGTTGTGGTGCAACAGTATTAAGCTTTCCATGCGGTCAAATGGGCATCTTCTTCCAAGCAGTGTAGCTTAGAATAACCTTAGCTCTGTTTCTCCAATGCTCTCAGCAGACTTCTTGAACTGAGCAGACAGCACCCGGGTTAGAGTCACAGAGTCGTAGAACTGGAAGGAACCCACCAAGACCATCCCTGGGAGTTGTTTGTCCAACCTGCTCTTAAAAAACTCCAATGATGGAGCGTCCACAACCTCCCTAGGCAATTTATTCCAGTGCTGAACCACCCTGATGGTTAGGAATGTTTTCCTAATGTCCAACCTAAACCTACCTTGCTGCAGTATAAGCCCATTGCTTCTTGTCCTATCCTCAGAGGTTAAGGAAAATAATTTCTCTCCTTCCTTCTTGTAACACCCTTTTAGGTACTTGACACTGTTATCGGGTCCATTCTTAGTCTTCTCTTGTCCAGACTAAACACACCCGATTCTTTCAGTCATCCCTCATGTTCTCTGCACCTTTCATCAGATTTGTTGCTCTTCTCTGGACAACAAAAACGATTAAAAGTCTGGGAAATACGGCCAATGAGGCGTCTCATTCTGTTCTGTGATGGAGGCTGTTGCCTCTCCTATGTCTTGTTAAGGCAGTTGAGTTACTACCCTTGAAGGGCTCGGTTTGTGCGATTCAGCATTGGGGACGTGGTGTGTGGGAGGCCCAGTCTGAGAGATGTCAACATTGAGTGTGTGGAGTGGGTGTCCCAAAAGACCAGTGCAAAAGTGATGCATGTTGAGGAGTGCCTTGGAAGCAACCCCTGTGTCTTCTCATCGGGCACACACCTGAGAGCCGCTTAACCTAGAGGTTTTCTGAGTCTTCCGCCTGTCATATGATGGCCTCTATCACACACTCCACCAGGCTGGAGCTGAGTGATTGCTCCATCCATTCTCCTTCCCCCCAGGTGCAGCAACCAGATTTCTGAGCATCAAGCTTTTTCTTCTTAATGACTCCGGAAGTCCCTGCATTGGCTGTATAACCCCGAAAGGCTGCTCCATTCCTGAACTGCTAACTCTACAACGCTTGAACCTACAGCCAGCCTCAATCCACAATTACTCCTCTGCCCAGTGGAGAGAGAATTATAATGGCTGACCCGTTGACCTGCCTTAAGCCGTAGCAGCAGCAGAAGATTGTGAACATGAGCCACAGCAATGTCAGGATCTGGTGTGATGTACTAGAGAGCACCATCGTTTTGATTTCATTTCCAAACTGTGGTTGTTAGTATGTTTGTGGATAAGTCGCAGGAAAATTCATCACATGCCTAGAGGTGTGGTTATAGCTACGAAAAGATAGTCCCTGTGTTTGTCTATGTACAAATGGATGTGTCTCTCCAGTTTGACATCCCAGTAAACAATAGTTTTCAGTTTATTTGGAGAGTAAAAATGTAATTGGAAATATCAGGCAGATTACAAGATTTTTCTGGGGCGTATTTTATTGAATCAGCTCTATGGCTAACAAGAAGGATTATATATTTTTAGTAAAGGACTGCCTAAATTTGACATTTAGCAATGTAATGACCCCCTAGGTTTTTCCTTCATATTTCTAGTAAAGGGCTGCCTAAATTTGACATTTACCAATGTAATGACCCCCTAGGTTTTTCCTTCCTGAATAATTGTTTCAAAATTCTCAATTGGCTCTTTCATTTTGAAAGTACCCAATGTACTCATAATATTTAATGTAACTGTTTTCTCGCCTGTGATTAAAATTAAAAATTCAGTGACAATCAAAATATAACTCAGAGTGGTATGGGGAAACGATTGTTAATTTAAAAAATTAAAATGAATTCTGATGTAAATCATTATCCTTATTTGCAGAACCGTGCATTCCTCTTTTACTCTCCAGACCTGTGAATGTTCATGCATATTTTCATGGGAAATATTTGTGTAGCTACAAAAATTAACATACACAAATTTAGAGCTGAATAATTTTACCTGAAAAGCGTGCACATTTAATATATATGCCTCAGGTTCTAAAACATTCTCAAAATGATACAATAGCAATCAGAAACATCCTTGTGAATTTGATAATCCTGTAATTGTGCACAGTGTTGCAAAGCTGCAGTTGTTGCATGGAATAAAATGTCAGTATATAATGATCACTCTAAATTATGCAGAGAAATATTCTCTTAGTAGCTCTGCACAAAAAAAGGCTCCGATCCTGCAAAGACTTGCTCACTCTAGAAACTTTAACATAGGTGAATAGTTCCATTGTGCTTAAAGTTGCTCACATAAGTCCAGGACCACAGCCGTAGGGTGTATATTTTATATATATATATATACATGACTGCACACTAGAAATTAAAGAGAGCGGTTTATTGTATATTAGTTATCTATGCTCTCAAATTTGTCATTTCTTTCTGCTTTTGTGTGTGTGTGTTTTCTTTTTCATTTTAGCCTGGAAATGTCTGGTGCCTACTGCTGGCAAAACTAGCCGAGGAATGGAAGCGTAAAGAAATATGCCCTGGTTATGCACAATGAGGTATGGAAGCCCATGTAGGGTATAAATAAACATGTTACAAAGTTTATTATTCATTTCCATGATTGGACACTCAAGTTCAACTTGTGTAATGCCTACTGCATAAAGGAGAATGGTGGTACTCCAGCAAAGGCTATGGTCCGCTGATTCCAGTTGCGATTATATAGACCATACAAAAATCCCTGCTCCTCATTTCACTGACAATGGTGTCAATCAGAACTAACTGGAGTCTGTGGAGTTACACCAATGTAGGATTATATAGGCCACACAAAAATCCCTGCTCCTCGTTTCACTGACATGGTGTCAATCAGAACTAACTGGAGTCTGTGGAGTTACACCAATGTAAAAGGGGTGTGAGGTGAGAGGCGACAAGAGCGCAAATGCAAACAGTGGGATTTTACCCCAAAATGCTCATTACGATTATTTTGTACAATGGACCAAATCCTGGCCTTGCAGGGTGTCTCATGGTTGTGGGTGAATACGCCCTTGGACAATTTTAAAATTCAGATTGGAAGTTTTCTAAAAGATTTGCTCTAATTCAAACAAAATTGGGGGAGGGGAGAGAAGTGGCTAAACTAACCATATTCCAGACAGGATAACGGCATCAATTCTGTTTACCCCTGTGTGTACCTTCCACTACCCCAGTGATGCTCTCTGCGGTGTGGTTTGTAGGAAATCAGACTGTATGAGTAGTGGGCCGTTCTGCCTTTAAAAACTCTAGGAACAATGGGAGTTTTGCCTTTGACTTTAGCCAGGGCAGGATTTGATCCAGTGTGTGGCTCACTTCTGGAGTGGGGAGAACTTTAGAAACCAGGGAGACTTTTAGGCATGAATTTCAGTTGTACTTAGTGCTTTGGATTTCCATAACCCGGAGGGGATTTTTATAGGATTTCTTGGGGGGGGAAGGACAAGCAAGCACAGGAAACTGTGTCACACCCTGCAGATGCTAAATGCCACATCTTGAAAATCATTAAAACATCACAGCAGGTAACTGGCAGACTTGATCCTATTTATTTATTTTTTCCATTCCCAAAGACGAAGTGTAAATGTGACTATTAAAGAAGGGCCACGTTACATTTTTATTCCTCACCAGGGTTTAGGGCCAAAGATGAATAAGACCTGGCACCTTGATGAGTGATTTTGAATGTCTGTCCCTGGAAGAATGACTTCTCCGCCACCTTCCGTGCTCCTTGCACTCCGTGGTGATGAGCAATGAACGATTCGCCGCTCGCTTTGTGTATCTAACACTTGATCTTACGAGCGATGAAAAGCCAGGGTGTTTCAGAATAAATTACGGCAGCCTTCTGAAAACAGACAGAGGTTTTCTGCTGACACTTCAGACCCGGAGGGTTGGGGAGGGGGGATATTTGCTGGGGGTTAGTTTGTTTTAAAACCATCGCGTCTTGTTCACGAGTCCTGAAGCTGGCTTTCCAAAGGAGCAGCCTGCTTTGGAAAGGAACAAAAGCAGCTTCCCACCGCTTTCCAGCGGCTGGACAATTGCACCCAGACCAGCTCATGCCCCCTGCGCCGCAACAGGGCGCGCTGTGCGCTTTTTGCGCACCCTGAGCGAGAGGGGTTTGTGAACAGTGCGCAGCTGGGCGTTTTGGAAGCGAACTCGCAGTGCGCGGTTACCTGCCTTGGCACGTCGGGGCGAATGTGAAACTTTCCACAACTCCGCCTCGGGTAAAATTCGTGGTGGCTCCAGGGTCGCAGCCCGAGTCACTTTTCCAAAATGGTCTGAAAACGCGTTTGAAAGATGCCTGCAGCCCTTTAAGAAACGCGGAGCCTTTCTGCCCAGACCAGACGTGTCCCTGAACCCCAAGCTGGCTTCTTTACGCCCCAAAATACCCCCTCCCTCCCGGGGAAGTTCATTAATACCCCGGCTAGGACGGCCACAGGGCTTTTTTTTAAAACCCGTCATCTCTTTGGAGTCACGCATGAAATCACCTTAATACCCCGGCTAGGACGGCCACGGGGCTTTTTTTTAAAAAACCCGTCATCTCTTTGGAGTCACGCATGAAATCACGTACGTGGCAGAGTTCAATGACAATGGGGACAATCGGCTTTCCTGTGGCTTTCGGCGGCACAAGCCAATTTCTCTTTAAATGTTGTGTTGACCGTTCCAACGATTCGGAGCCCAATCCTCGAACCCAGTCTCCTTAACTGGACTTACGCCGGAGCGGGTGTAAACAAGATCAAAGGGGACGCTAAAATTAAGGATCTATTATGATCTTTTCGCTTCCACCGATCTTTAGAAAATGGGGGGGCGGGCGGTGTTATTTTGTTTTGGAGAGGGTATTACTGACCAACCAGGAATCGATACCTCTGAGACACTATGTCTGTGGCTAGCCTCTCAAACAAATTTTTTAGCTGGTTTTCCAAAAACTTCCCTAGAAATCAGGAGAAAGTTCAAAGTGGTGAGGGCTGACAGTTGTTGTACGCTCTCACTTTCGGTGTTTACATAGCATACATGGCTTCATTTTTTAAAAATACTTTACAAAAAGACCTCAGGCTAGTATTTTAACGGCTTAAAACCCGTCTGCTCCTGCCGAAGCCTCGAGCAAAGGAGGAATGAATTCTAGGAAGCTGGCATCCAGAGGAAGAAATTTTGTAAGCATCGATTACTAGAAAAATAAAATAAGATAATAAATAAGCGCGTAGAAATAAAAGCCCAACGTGCAATAATAAATCAACTAGCATGAAATAAGCTAGGAATGTCTCTCCCTTTTTCTAAATTATGATTTTGTTTTATTATAATCAGACCGAGCGGCCGTTGGAGGATCAATATGAAAATGCCAGAGCATCTTTGCTTAGCCAGACTTTTCCCCCTGTAAAGCAAGGGCGAGTCTCTTGGTCGCTGTGTTCCATCCGTCCGTGTCTGTTAAAAGTTTCCTTCAGGTTCTGAGAAACTCCCCCCCCCCTCACACGTGGTCCAAGGAGCAAGCTCAGATTTATTGTAAAGCCAAGATTTATACCGTACAAAATCACTGTACAGCCGAGTTCAGAGGCACGGCCATTGCTGCCTAATGCTAAATGATGTTAATTGCTCCGCGATGATTGTATATCTTCTCGCTGCCTGAGAGGGGCCCCGCTCACACCCTAAAAGAAATTCACAACGAATTATATGACGCACAGTTCAAAAACAGGCTGACTTTGCAGAGTTTCGTCTCTTCTGTAACCGCCCTGAAAGGCTCCCAGCTCTGGGGGTGTCCTAATGTCAATGATGGTGTTTCCGTACATGATA